CACCGCAGCTCTCTATCTTGTTTCTATCAAAAGTTATTCAAAAAATACTCACTAGCATTCATGGAACCGTGACACATGCGAACAAAACAGATCTTATCAAAATTTTATTATTCTTATATTAGTTGAAGTATGATCAAATAGCATAGAAAAATAGAGCGTCCTTTTCTCTATCAGACTGCATAGAAAGAAAATTTCTTGAAGCTTAACATACAGTATTAAAGTGTCACTGCCCGTACTTTTGCTATGCACTAAGTATCAAAAACACACCCGTGGTTTTTGTACGAGAGACCGGTCATTGTGTTGCGAACCGTCGGTTTTGACCGGTTTTTCTACTTGAAAATGAACCGGTGTGACCAATAGTTTCGACCGGTTTTTCCCACTGATTTTTATGTACGGGTTGATATTTACTGGAAGTGAAAGAACAACTTATTCTAGTAATTCATAATATGTCTGCTCCAGCAAAAATAATCTAAAAATAAAAAGAGACTCCAAGGTTGTAACGCCTATACACCTACGTTCATGTCCATGAATCAATCCATCAAACTGCGCATTGTTCACGGACTTTGTCCATTTAATAAACTCTCCCCATAATAGAAGGCCACCTGGTCTTCTATTCTGTTCCCCAAGTCGAGTTCTAAAGGGTGATCTTCTACTGCGGTTAAATTTTGTCGCCTGCTAGTAGTGCAACAGTTAGGGGTGGCACATTTTCTTTACTGATGCGTTGCTTTACTGAGTAAAGCAACGCTTTCAAATATCACCGTATGAGTGACGAACAACCGAAAATGTATTGTTTTATCACCTTCCGGACACAATACGACTATAGCGTTACTATATTATGCGTTACTAGTAACGAGTAACGCATGCGTTACTAGTAACGCAATAACGCTTGCGTTGCTGCGTTAAAGTAACGCAGAAGTAACGCAATGCATGAGGGAAAATCAACCCTTAGTCCGAATAGCTTTATGTGCTGTAGCTCTCTCAGCACTTTGTTGTTTTGACTTAGACCAAATAGCTGTAAAAGTTGTCATTCTACTAGCTCAAAATTTTCTTTTATCACTCTGAGACAATCTGATGACACTTTATAGAGTAGTGGTTAAGACAACCTCCAACAATTTTAAATACCATTGGGTTGAAGAATAAGGAAATGTTTACCTCATCTCATGAAAAATATACCATAGTTAAGACAGTTCAGATGACTGTATTCTGATCCCTCTAATTAACCACTGTTATATGACAAGTTGTTATTCACAGAAAATTTTCTTACTCAGCCTCTAAAATTTATGACAAAGGTAAAAAGAAGCAGGATAGTGCTTTTAAGTTTCGAATGATTAATGTAGTTATTGTGATGACGAGTTTTAGCAAAGTTGACTAGCATATGTTTTCATTTTTGCCATTCACTTTTTCAAAAGGTTGTGCCATTGAGACCTGGAACATTCAGGTCCTAAAAGCACCCGAAACAAGAATTGATCTATTTCGTATTGAATGTTTTTTCGAATGGTGGATGCTGAATGTCGACATCCATTCAAAATTAGGTAGCACTGACATGAATCATCAAGAACATTTTATTATCATCGCTAGTTCTTGTTTTCACTTTTAATGATATTAACGCTGTTTTCTTGCTGGAATGACGAAAGAACAACAACGCACGTAAGAACATAAAATGCATAAAACGAGAGTGTATCAACTGTAACGGCAATTAGTGACAACGTTCAATAAAAGAAAAATCTGACTAATACTTCAGCATTGATGTCAATGCCAATAACGATGTTAGTTCAAATGCATGTCTACAAATCTTTGCACAAAAGTTCCAGCATTCGCCGACTCTTCAATACCATGGAGTATTGAACGGCCTTTGGAGAGAGAGAAGTTCGTTGTTTCCGGCAAATGTATCCGGCAACGCTAAAGCTGCTTTCGCTAGCAACAGATGTTGCTGGTACCGCATTGTACTGATGGACTAAATGAGCTAATCGTGGTAATGATAATTCATTGTCGAGCCAGAATTGTCGAAAATCCGTTGCCGATTGAACAGCTTTCACATAATGGCAAAGTTCCTCGTCGATTGTGAGCTGCTTCTTATTCGCCAGTCTTAATGTACCATTCGATCGTTTCACACCGCACAACACTGATAAATTATCGAACAAGGTTTTTTTTGCTGCTGCAGTCATTGTTGAGGAAACCTAGAAATAATCAACCGTTTATTGAAGGATATGCAGTCGATTGATTAGTGATGCATGATTATCAATCACATCACACTCTTCCACAATGTTTTTCAAATTGTGACAACTCTTATTAACTAGCACCGTGGTTAAATAGTGACAAGCTCTTTGTATAGAAGCACAGGTGGCAAATGTTAAAATCACAGAAATTCTTTTCTACTGCTTCTTTTCGTTTGCTAGCCCATTGGAAGGTTTTGACAAGTTAGTCGTCATGTATTGCTATGTTGCTCTCCGCTACTGTATGCGTGAAAGAGAAAAAAGAAAGAAAAAAATATGCTGCTGCTTTTAATCTGTATGTCACATATGGTTCAATGTTAACGTATCAATAGTATCTAACGAAGAAAATCGAAACCAAAATGTCACACATCTCAACAAAGTAGTGAAATCAAATTAGGAAAAGTGTCTGCTAATGACAATCGAGATCAATGTTCACATTCAAACTGATTGCATAATTTCTTCTTTTAATAATGCATTTTTATGTTCTTAGTCAGCGAGTCAGTGCTCATTCGAACACGAGTAAAAGAAAAACACACATATAAACTACTCACCGGTATCACCGGCGGCAAAGAATCGTCCTGTCGTTTCTTCATTGCTTGGGCAACAAACCTTTTTGCCACTTTGATGTCATTTTCGGTCATGCAGTGGTAGGACGTAGGATCAAGAAAAGCTGCCACCTAAGAAAATAAAGCGTGAACTTCTACAGTTTCTTTGGTGACCACATATAAATGTAATTCAAGCAAGAAACAATGAATGCCTACTGTGAATTTATGTCAAGTACTCAGTTATTCTCGTTAGTTGCGAAGAACAATGGATCTTTCCTCTTTCGCTTGCTTCCACAAAGAAATGCTCAGAAAAGTTGAGCATATCTATTACCTGCATCCATGTTTTTTGAGCAGGCGACATTTTGTCAATAAAATGAATTTTGAACTGGGCACGTAGAGCCTTCTTGAGTGTCGAAACAAGCGGAGATTCCGATTTTCTAGTTCCAGAAAGATATTTCCCCAGCAAATGAATTACTAAATGTGCCGTTGCCATAGTCGGATACAGATTACCAGATAGAAGAATGGTAGCAAGAGCAAACGGTTTTAGAACGGTATATAATGATTCGAGAAGATCCCATTCGTCATGTGCAAATGTGAATCGCTTCACCTTAGTGATTTGGTCCTTGGTAAGGCCATTGCAGAGCCGATCCGGAGAAAGGATAAAACTCTTGATAATGTCCCTATGAGCAAGAAATCGCTCGAGCATATAAAATGTGCTGTTCCAGCGAACACGCAAATCGAGAATTATTCCACCACTGCGTTGTTCGAAGTATTAGTTGTACCGATAGATTTCATTTTACGGACATACGCATCAACGACTCCATGATTTCGAATGAATTTTACCGCTTGACGAACATGTGTCAGCGAAGTATAGACACCTACTAATACTTCGAAGAGATCATTCTGATTGATAACGAGTGAAGTCAGTGTATTAGATGCATCATTGTCCAAATCGAAATCGTCTTCAAACTCGTCATTTTCAATAATGGATTCACTTGAGTCTAGAGCAGTATGAGCAGATTCGTGCGGTGTTTCTTGGTTGCCATCGTCACTGTTGTCATGAGGTTCGTCCTCTTCATCACTTGAAGAGTCATCGGTGACGGCGACGTTGTCGGTCACAAATTCCACTGGGTCTTCGTCGTCGTCGTTATCAACAAATGGATATCTGTAAAGAATTTTACTAATGATTGTTCCTCAATTTTACTAATGATTGTATTTTTCCTATGTGATAAAAACATCACACTATCACCATTCGTGTAGTCGCCAGTTTCAAAAAAAAAAGAGATAAACAATTGTATAAAATTTTAAGTGTGCAGTTCGAAGGTTAGTTGGTTTTTTTTCGATTCGAGGACGAATCTTTTCATCATTGGCGGGGAGGTGATGTAACGGTCTCGAAGCC